TCTACCAGTTACTGAGAGATGTTGCAAGACATGCTGTTATCCACTGGTCCCTTATTTCCATGAACACATTCTCTGCACATTGGTCATACCAAAGAATCAAAGACAACCAGACAAAACAATACCTTCTCACCATATTTGACACTGACAAGAAAATGGCCAATTACATTTTTTAGAACGGGAAAAACTACCTGTCTATCACACATTCTTTAGAATATTTAATACTGCCCACAACTTCCTCTTAAAAACTACATCTTTCAGTTACAATTTCTCACAATCTCACTGTACATTAGCAGCTGAGGTGTTTGCCATCTTCATACCAGACTCCAAGGGACTTCTACTTCATGCCAACTAAAACAAACTGTAAGTAATTATTGTCACTGATTAATTTATTAACCATAATAATAATAATAATGATCAATTAGGATACTCCGCATATAAAACCTGCAACACCAAATGTAAAATAGGCAACATAATACATTTTAATCATAGTTTAAAATCGTATTTGAAATAATTTGAATACATATTAATTCATAATTTTTTATTTCAGGAAGGGAAAAAAATTATCGTTTCACTTTTTTTTCATTAACTCTTTCTTACAAAATACAACTTATCTTATTCCATACTTAGAAATCAGTGGGGAAGTGATACTCCATGACTTATGAAATATGAATGAAATATGACTAGTAACCCATCAGTCAATCTTCTAACAGTTGCAGTGGTGGGGGGAGAGGAGAGAGGGGACAGGCTTGACAGTAAACCATTTTTGTGAAAACATTTGTATCTGAGTTTCTAATTAATTTCTTCACATTTTTTTATTGTGAGTCATATACTATGCGGGCACTCTAATCTCAAATTACAAAAGCACAAATATAACATCTCATCTCGATATGACTTCAATATTATACACAATACTAGTAGGGAACAGTAGAGATTGAAGCATTTCAGGCTACATGGAGCTGTGAAATAATTTTGCTGGTTTGTGTTTTCATCTCCAGCTCCTTTAAAATGTCTGGGTTTTAATGTAATTCTGTGATTCGTTTATCCTATGTAATTCTTCTGAAAATAGACCTGGTATTATGGAACACAGGATAAATGAGATACAACACAAAATATTTCTTGGCAGCCTGGTGGCTCCCACATAATTCCTCTGAATCTGATTACTGGCTCTGCTGTGTGTGTCTGAAGTTTGCATATTCTCCCCAGATCAGGCAGGTTTCTTCCTGCAGTGCAAAGACATCTGGTTAGGCAAACTTATGTTCAATTAATGTGCACATGTAGCCTAAATTCTAGACCTGGAAGATGTATGAATAAAATATACCTTTAAACATCAGTGGCCTGTACTACGAAGTGGGGTTACTGGCTTATCGGGGTAACTTGTCGGATTTAAGGTAGTCTAGGCAAAATGTAAGTGAACAAATATGAAGTCCATTTAAACTGTGGTACCTTAAATCCAACAAGTTACCCCGATAAGCCAGTAACCCCGCTTCGTAGTACAGGCCACAGACATTTAAAATACTTCAGCTTTAAACTTAACCAATTTAATGTAATTCTTGCATTTCTGCCTTCAGAAATGCCTGTAAATATGTATGTGCTGGACACTTCTCAACTGCGGAATCAATATATTTTAAAATTATATTTTAATTCCTGGTTACTTCATGAACTGAAACAATGTTGTAATACAAATAAGAGATAAGACACTATGTTAATTTCTAATGTCCAATAAAGCTGTTGATATTTTAGGCAACAAATAAATAATCACAAAGAAATGAATACACAAATGCCTCTGTATTGTAATTCCAGTAACTGATATCCAACGTACACCACAAGCTACATCTCTTTGGAGACAATGAAGTCGTTTATTTCTCTACTCCTCCTACTTTTTGGTGAGAATTGAGCTATTTCTTCAGTTCCAGAATATAATGTCAAATTTTTGTTTTTTTTTTGCTACTTCATGATTTTTAATGTGTTTGATTCTGGGTGGGGTTACAGGAAGCCTGACATCTATAACCATCAAATGCCAGACTGTCTCTCCAGCAGTAGATGTTGCTAGAAAAGTAACAATGGCAACCACAGAGACAACACATCCTTCATTGAACAAGCAGATCAGGATGGAGTTTGTCATATTGATGAATTTTACTTCGGATCTTAGCAACCCTTCCTCTGATGAATTCCGAAATCTTGCACAGAACATCACCACTGAGGTCCTGACAGCCTTTCCTTTTGGGCAGTATAATATTATACCATGATGGGTGGCATCAGTGTAATGGTCTGTGCCTCTCCTTCATGGTGAGAGAGGTGACACATTATGGTATGGTTCAGCTTTTGATGCATGTTTTATCATTTTCTTTGACTCCACAGATTGATACGATTTTCATCAGACAGTATCCAACATCGTTCAATAACTGCAGGATTAACCGTTTCAGGTGCTCATTAATATATCAGTATCTCCTGTCCATAAGACATTTACTTTTTCCAGCCCTTAATATATTGTTAGAAATTCTACAACATTTGAGTGATTTATCATTTCCTTTGAAATTGATTGCTTGACCCATGCCTATACTAACCCAGTTAACAGTATCTGAATGACCAAGATTGTACTCATTACTTGTAAATTGGGTTTTACAGGTATGTCTGAGAAGCTTGAAATTTTAGTTGTGTAATCACAGAACTGTATGAATATTTGTCATTTTGGGTCTTCTGTCGAAATGTATTAGTATAGTGTTATTGAATTGGTGTTTCTTTCATTAATCTGGATAATCTCACCATACAACTCTCTCCACCAAGCAAATTCTGTAGTGTTGTTCAAATTGTAAGATCAGGGGCCTCATGTATAAACGGTGTGTACGTCCGTTTCCACGCTCACGTCGAGATGTATAAAAACGAAACTTAGCGTACCGCTACGCACATTCTCAAGGCAGCTCCAGACATGGCGTACGCACGTTTCTGTTCGGTTTCGTAAACGGACAGCACTTAGTGGCAAGTCATTGCTACTGTGGTTTCCCTTTTTAAACTCACAATCATGACGCTGACTTTATCCAATACACCGACATTAATTGTATGTTGTTTACAAATGTACGGCACCTGATTTTTAATCAGTTTGTAACAATTAAACGGTGCAGAATATGACCAAACTATTACAACTATCATGGCAGCTCTTGCGTTATTGTAAGACATATCTTATGGAAGAATTAGAAGAGGGCGCGTATTCAGGGATCATAGTGATTTTTTGTCCCATGATGATGACTGGCTTCTAAGTCGATTCAGATTTCCAAGAGCAATGCTTTTGGAGCTGTGTGCTGAACTGGGGCCAGCATTACAAAGGCAGACGATGAGGAATTGCGTTATACCTGTTCCTTTACAAGTTCTGTCCATTCGTGGGTTCTTAGCCACAGGTGCTTTTCAGCGAGAACATGCGGACCGATCGGGTATTTCTCAGTCAACATGCCAGCTGTATTTCTCAGTCGCGCCATGCCAGCTGTATGGGACGGCATAATCCGCTTGTCACCCAGATATACAAATTTAAATTTCCTTACACTGTGGTTGAACAGGCAAACATTAAAGCGCAATTTGCAGCAATGTCCGGTTTTCCCAATGTAATTGGAGCCATCGACTGCACGCACA